TTTTATTCAAATTCAGAATTTTTTAAATTAAATCTTTATTGAATAGTTTCTTAGTAGATTTATCTTAATCTTTCAAAATGTAATTTTTAATTTTATTTTTACTAGTAATTAAGATTCAATTTTTGATAACTTTAAATATAAAAAATTTATCAATTATCGATAATTAAGTTATTATTAATTTATTATTATTTTATCAACTATTTATTATTAAATTATCTATGAATATTATAAATTATTAATGATTTATATTAAATTAATATTGATTTGTTATTAATTTATTAATGATTTACTACTAAATTATAAATTATTTATTATTAAATTATTGATAATTTATTAATAAATTAGTGACGATTTATTATAAAATTATAACTAATTTACTATTAATTTATCAGAATTTTTTTTTACATCAAGTTGAATTGAAGTCTTTATTCTCATATTCTTTTAATCTTTTTTTTTCCCTAAATGAGGTATTGAAGCCGGTCACTATTGTATCACTGCTTACAAGGAAAAAACTACCATGTCAATTGAATTTTTCTTTTTTTTTTTTTTAATAAAATTCCATTTGCTACAAATGAATCTTGCGCGAAACCTCTTCAGTGATACCTTCACCTTTCCAATTGACCCTATGCTGCAAATGATTCAGTGTCATCATGAGGCAGAGGGTCAATCTGCTATTTTCTAATGGTTCTATCCTTAGATCCTAAGGCATATAATTCCTCTCCTGGTGAGAAACACGAGCAGGGACAACCATGTTGACCCTTATTGCATGGTATCTCGTCCACAGTGTGAAAATAAAAAGCACAAACCCATATATCTTCTCATCTGGCAATGAATTTACTTCCAAATTTCAGTTCTAGTAAGTCTGATTTAACCGTGCATGGTATGTTGTAGCTTTTTACCAACCCAAAGCGGTTTGCATCCCATAACTTAACCGTATATCCATCTGCAGTTGTGATGTATCGACCATCTTAACTCACTTCAGAATAGGTCACAGATGACTTGGTTTCTAGTGTTTAAACTAGTTTACCACTCCTCCATATTGTCTTAATAGTGTCTGATCACTATGAATCCACACAATAGTTTTGATTGAACCAGGAGATTAGTCTTCCCTTGGAGGTGCATCTGAATGTTTCAAATCATAAATACGAAGGACTTTCTCTACTTCCCTAGTCAATAGAAGGTGTGTATCCTTTGAAAAAACACTATCTTGAACTCTATGCTTGTGTTCAAATTAGTAAAATTCATCACCTGTTAGTGCATCCCAGACTTTCGCAATAAAGTCAGCAAAATCGAAAGCAGCACGTAATGCATTTGTATCCAAGAAAACACTCCTCAACGCAGCCTTATGTCCTTCAAATGTTCCTATCCAATCTCCAGTTTCTCCATTCCTCAGCATGGGACTAGAATCTTTGCTGGCACTATTGAGGAAAAGGCCATCTGGAGTAATCGGACGGTAAAAGAGGACCACGACGGGGCGTGAGTGGTCATGGCATGCAAGTGGGACCGCAATCCTTTTCTTATCCATCTCTTTTTTACAAATCAAACACCAATTATAAAAGTAATCTCTTTCTTTTATGATAGCCAAACAAAACAAGAAATGGTGATGGTTTAATACAAGAAAGAAGACGTTTTGATTAGTGGGATTTGGGACTTGATTGCATTAATCCTCACCTACCCTGGGCCCTGAGCATTGAGCAAGATGATGATGATGCAAAAATGTTATGGAAAATTCGAAAAGACTATTCTTTTACAGGATACGGGGCGTGAGTGGCCATGGCATACAAGTGCGACCGCAATCCTTTTCTTGTCCATCTCTTTTTTATTACAAATCGAACACAAATTATAAAAGAAATTTCTTTCTTTTATGATCTCTAAACAAAACAAGAAATGGTGATAGTTTAATACAAGTGGGAAGACGTTTTGATTAGTGGGATTTGGGATTTGATTGCATTGATCCTCACCTACCCTGGGCCCTAAGCATTGAGCAAGATGATGATGATGCAAAAATGTTAATGGAAAAATTAGAAAAAACTGTTCTTTTACAGGAGTCTAAAGTGAGGCACAGAGCATGGAGAATCAAAGGACCTAACTACATAATATCTTCTACACATTTTAAAAAATTCTAGAAAAAGAAAATCAAGTCATGTATAAATATCAAAAAGGTGGAGCTTCCAATGGAAAATATATTTTCATAGACATTACCCAAGCATGGTTCTATATAATCTAATCTTGTCGTTATGGCTCTTGCAATTAAAGAAGTCAAGTTGGTTGCTTCTATAGACGAGAATAGATGAGGCGCTGATAGCTCTAAAAACTAAAATCCTATTGACCCAAATGCACATCTCAATGAAAATTAACTTATAAGCTGTAACAAAATCTCTCTATTGTGATCACCAAAATAGAAGATGGACGATCGCTTGCAAACTTAAAAAAGGCAAAATCAAGTGTTTAGCATGGCAAGATTGATCTTTCCGTTGGTGACCACGATAAATAGTGAAAAAGTGAAGAAAAAGGAAAATGAAAAAAGATTAATGGTCAAGTGACAATTTTTGCCACTTGAGCATTTAGACAGTTTATGTGGCTTGAAATGCCTCATTTAGGGAAAAAAAGATTAACGCTATCCCCATTTGGGAATAAAGATTTTAATGCATCTTGATATGGGAAAAAACTCTAACTTATCAATAATTTATTACAAAATTATCAATAATTAATTAATTTACAACTAAATTATTAGTGATTTATTATAAAGTTTATCAATAATTTATATCTAAATTATCAATAATTTCCTATCATGTTATTATACATTTACTATTCTATTGTCACTAATTTATTATTTAGTTTTCAATTATTTACTATAAAATTATCACAAATTTATTACTAAATTAACCATAATTCATTATCAAATTATTACTAATTTACATTAAATTATTCATGATTTACTATTAAATTATTGATGATTAACTATTATTAAATTATATTGATTTACTTTTAAGTTTATAATTTTAACTACTAAATTATAGTTGATTTACTATTAAGTTATTTATGATTTATTATTAATTTTATCAATTAATTATTACTAAACTGACATTGATTTACTATTAACTTATTACTAATTTATTATTAAGTTATCAATAATTGACTACTAAGTTATCATTTATTATTTATTAACCTATCATTGATTTATTAATATATTGTTATTATTTACAACAACGAAACATGGAATTTAAGAAGTCTACTAATAATATATGAGACAATTTTCTTTTTATATGATAATATTATTGTTTTATTAAAATTTAAAATTTTTTCACTGATTTTTTTTATTGAATAGGTTCATGGCAAATTTATTATGGCCTTCAAAATGAAAGTTTTGACTATGTTTATACTAGTAATCAGAATTCAATTCTTACAACTTCAAGTATAAAAAAAGTCATCAGTAATTGACAGTTATGTTATCAGTTATTTACTATTAAGTTATTAATAATTTACTACTAAATTATCAATAATTTATTTATATTTTATGAACGATTGCCATTAACTTATAAATTATTTATCATTAACTTATTAATGATTTCTATTAAATTCTTGGTGATTTCCACTAAGTTATTAATGATTTATTATAAATTTAAAACTAATTTATTACTAATTTACCAAAGATTCACAACAAGGTTATCAATAATTAACTAATTTACTACTAAATTATCATTGTAATTTACTATTACATTATTAGTGATTTACTACAAAATTATTAATTTACCACTAACTTATCAATGATTTACCGTTATTTTTTTATATATTTACTATTATATTTCATTGATTTACTACTTAATTTTTTATTATTTATTATAAAATTATCATCGATTTACTACTAAATTATTTATGGTTTACTATCAAGTTATTACTAATTTATATTAAATTATGCCTAATTTATTATTAAGTTATCACTGATTAACTATTATATTATTGATAATTTACTATTAAATTATATTAATTTATTTTTAAATTTTCAGTGATTAACTATTAAATTATCAATTATTTACTGCTAATTTATCATTAACTTATTACTAAATTATTTATGATTTATTACTGTCAATTAATTACTATTAAGCTAAAACTAATTTACTATTAAATTATTACTAATTTACTATTAAGTTACCATTGATTTATTTCTAAGTTATTAGTAATTAACTACAAAATTATCACTTATTTTTTGTTAAGTTATCCTTGATTTAGTACTATGTTATTATGCATTTACAATTATATTATAATTGATTTATCATTAAGGTATTATGTATGTGTTATTATATTATTACTAATTTACTAAAAAGTTATCAATTATTTATTACTAAATTATTATTTATTTACAATTAAATTATCACTAATTTAATATTAAATTATCGATGATTACTACTAAGTTATACTTATTACATTTAAATTTTTAATAATTAATTACTAAGTTATTAATTATCTATTAATATGTTATCACTGATTTGTGTATATCCAAAAAATACTAATAATCACAACATATGCTCTATAGTGTAATTTGTAAGGTAAAGAAAGAAAGAAAAAAAGTTCAAGTTTAAATTACTTGAAAAACATAAGTAAATGCTTTTAATTTGCTATCTGTAGTTTAACACATAATAATAAGTTAAAATCATAACTTTTTATATTTATGCAAGTATTAAAACTAAATTAAATAAATATATGCAATATATATTAAGTAAATAATTCTAAGATATTCTTCAAAAGTTTTAGTTCATGGTAAAATAATACATATTAAAATAAGTTTTATTGATGATTTGATTCAATTATTAGTGTATATATTTTCATACCTATTATAAAGTACAATTGCATATAAAAGATTGAAAATTCTGAATGTTATGTCCCTAATAAAAGTAATAAACTTTGTCTTAGGTTTTTATTTTTAAGTATACAATTTTGGGTAAAAATTTTGTTATATATATATATATATATAATAAAAGTAATAAGAACTAATTTTCTAAATAAAATTTATAAAAACTAAATAGACAATAATTTTAAAATATTAAATTCACAATAATTAACTTCATATTCTCCATAAAAAATTTTATTCTACTAATTAAAAAATGGTACATTTTTAATTGTTGATTCATTTTTATTACCATCATTCAAAATAACTTTCTTTATACTTTGGTGCCAATCAACTTTTCTATTCGGAAAGAGTAAATAATATTTCACATTCTCCATAAAATAATTTTCTACTATATGAAAAGATGGTATTTTTTAGTTGTTATTTCATTCTTATTACCATAATTCAAATTGACTTTTTTTTATATTTTAATGCCAATTAACTTCTTCATTTGGAAAGAGTAAATAATATTATAAGGGGTCATAACATTCTAAATAATGTTTAACTCTATAATATAATCTCTTTCAAATGAAATGTTTAAATTCTTTCCCTCAACCCATATAGCAACAACTTGATTAACAAAAGAATGATTATAAACTCATCGATCTAGATTAACATTGTTATCACATGAATTTCAAAATTCTCAAAAAAAAATTCTTTGATCTCTGCAAAACATAGGCATAAGGATTTTTTTTTCTAAAATTATCATTAGTATATCTCCATCACTTTTGTACTTAAATTTTTATTTTGTTATATTCTGATTCTATTTTAAAATTTATTATTGGTGCCATAAAAGTACAATTAAATTAACATAGATTAATCAACTTAAACTTAAAACAATTCAAAGTTCAAGTTGAGTATAAATAAATTTTTATTCATTTTAAATTTTAATTTAATTAAAAATAATATAATGCACATAATTATAAAAAACTAATTTGACTTAATTTCAATTGATTTTAAGAAGTAAAAACTTAATAGTTATTTAAAATCCCAAATGATTGAACATAACCAACTCCGAATTGAAATAGTAACTCAATCAAAATTCAATATTAGTTATTCATATTCTGTTATAATTTAAAAGTTCTTTATTTAAGCTTATTTCCTTTCATCTTTAATGTTTTATTTTTATTGTTTTTGTGATTGAATTAGTTAATTAATTTTAAGAGTATTTTTAAAGTAAAATTACAACTATAAGTAATTGAGTATAGTTCTATTTTATTTGAATTTAGGATGATTTGAATCTAACTTTTTAAACAAAGAGAAGCATGTACCAATTATTAAGTTAAATTTGCTCAGGTCGCTCATCGTAAGTCTAAAATTCAACTCAAAATTATAAAAAATAAAAATTCAAAATGATTGAAATACTAAATACATAATTATATAAATATTTATTAAATGAATTTTACTAATGAATGCCTTTAAATCACTTTTCAGTTTAGTTAAGTTATAATTTATAATAATTTTTTATTTTAGATGTAAAGTAATAATTAATTTGATAAGTTTTAATTCTTTTGAGCAAATATTATCTAACATGACAACATTAAAATTTTTATATAGCAAAGAACATTCTTGAACTGATATAAAAGAAAAAATGAATGAGTATACAATGTTTCTATAAATAAAAGAGTTTCATATTAATCTTAAAGAAATTTGAAATCTATATATTTCTATTTTTTCATTTAAATATCATATATCACTAACCTTCTTTGTTATATGGAAAAGAGAGAGTTATGTATAACTAATTAATTTTTCATCTCATTTTTCTGTTTAGAATAATCTTCCATTGGTGCTTTCACCAATTGAATGTAATTGTATGTTCTATCAATTAAAAGCTAAATTTTTTATTTAAGATTTTTTATTATACATAATTTTTTATATAAAAATATTAAAATACATAATTTTAAAAAATAAAATAAAATAAATTCCTAATCTTGGTACTGGTCATGTTTTCTTAAGAAAATTCCAATTCTAAGAATAACAAACTTATTATATAATGCTTATATAATTTCTAATAATTTCATTTTAAGTATTGACAACATCAATTTTCATGAATGAATGTAATTTT